TAATTGGTCTCTATTGTTCTCAAAAAATTTCTAAGTTGCCTGGAAAATTTCCAACACGATGGCTTTATCAATTAACATTTTTTCTATATGGTATGATGATGACATCAGCTTGTATATTACATTGTTGTTTGGGTGATCCACAAAAATTATCACATACTCTTCAAAATAACGATACCGATTCAATTCTACCTATACAATTACTTTTTCTGATTATTGACGTTGGTTTAACAACAAGTATTGCTGTTAGTTTTCTCTTTTGTGGTTTATGTGATATTAATTTTTTAAATCCAAAATCAAATTATACACGTTTTCTACTTATGAGTTCATATTTTACTGTATTCGTTTTATGGACTTTAGGAATATTCAATCAATGGCCTTGGATAACTAATGTTCTTTATACTGGAGTTATATCAGTTTGTTGTTTTATTTATTTACTTACCCAATTATTTATTAAATCAAATCGTCGTGCTTTACCTGCTCTTGTTGTTGGTGGAATCTATGGAGCCGTTGGTTTATTTTTAGCATCATTTGGCGCTGAGTATGTTTGTAAATCAGAAGGTCCATTTTGGTCACAATATTTTGGACCAGGATTTCTTTGGTATCTATTTTCGGACATTAGTATGGCATTTATATTTCTATATGTTATACGAGCTAATCGAGAAAAAGAAGTCATTATCAAGAAATATCCTATTGATATCGAAAAAGATCCTAAAAAATTTTAAATTATTTCGTTTTTCAACAATTTATTATGCTTTTTTTATAAAAAAAAAACTTTATTTCGTGATTAAAATAAATAGATGAAAAATTTAATGAATATCAATATTGAGTGATATGTATTTATATAGATGTTCAGTTCGAAAAATTCATTTTTAAAGATTCAGTAGAACAATATTTTACATCATCAAAACAAAAACAATAGCGATGAAATTTTTTAATATCATTTGTGAAAGATTATTGAATACTTTCTGTTGTTAATTCGATTATTATTTGAGAAATTTTTCTCCAGTTCGAGATGAGTTATTAAGATCTATAGTCATTTTGATAGAATAGAGAACTTCTAAACTAAAACTTTAAATTGATATAATCACAATCAAGATATTGCTGATGTATAAGCGAGGATCAAAGAAGATATTTAAAGACTAAATGGATCGCTGAATTGCTGCAAGTGGCCATCCATAGAGGACGTCCAAACACTTACTATGAATATTTTTATTTTTTCTTTACACAACTTTCCGCGAAATTTTGTAGCATAAGATAGAATTATCACAATTGTAGTTCCCCGTTTGAGCTTATACTGAATCCACAAGAAGGTCTCAGTAAGACTAGAAAAAGTTTTCAAAGAATTCATGTCCATAGGCCTCTGGAGTTGACTTATGACCATTTTATTGAATTTCCGACTCATTTTTAAGTACTTACTGAAAAATCAAATAATGGAATTTCGACCTGAAATTTTGCTCATAAATAGGTCTAAGGACCCTTACAATATCTCGAAAATGTCAGCCGAAAAGAATGTTTATTTGTTGAGATATTGAATTTCCAAATAATGATTGCTTATCATAGATATATCACAAAAATCGAGTTTACTTTGAAAATTTAATATCTTGACAAAGGAATATTCTTTTCGGGGCCTCAATATGAGCTCAAACAGCGAATTACAGTCCAAATAGTTCCCTCGTTAGTTTTCTCTGAAGAGTATTTTTCAATAGGAGATTAACTTAATGAATCAGTTAAATATGAATATCGTGTTGAAATAATTGAAGATTATGCTACATGTGCAGATAGTTATTTTGTGGAACAGTTATATGAGATTTGTGAGTGTCATTGGCATTGAACTTCATTTTTCGTTTGTACTATTTTCTACTGATTAAAATCGAATATATTTAAAAAACCAAAACATTGCAATACGTTAGATTTCTGTTTGTTTTCTTATGAAATGTGTTTTTATTCGTTTTTATTTTTGATACATTTATTTAATAAAAAAGTATCAGTATATTGAAACAAGCAGGCTTTTTGTGAGTCTTTTTTTTAAACTAGACATCTAGGATGATGTGGGTGTGGGTGTGTATAAGTCAAGAACAAGATAGCTACACCCGCACCCACACCCACATCCTCCATAGTTAATCTTATTCAAAAAGTGAACATCTGAGAATGAAAACTCGTTATTCTGTTCGTTCAATATAGAGATTCGTGAAAGGGGTAAAAGTGACTCCTCAGTTAAAAATAGAAGAAACGATAAATGAATCATCGAAATATTTACTTTCTTTTTTTCATTAATTTCATCGTTTTCTGTTTTTATTCAATTTCATTTTATTTTTGTTCATGTTAGAGCATTGGTATTTTGTCGCACATTCGGTCAAAAACGAGATTGAGTACGCCGTTGAATATTCATGCTGTTATTCGCGAGTAAATTTTAGAGAAACAAATGATACAGGTACTCAGACGAGTAATTCGAGTACTCACGCTGGCAAGTCGTAGTCGCTTGATGTGCGTTTTCACTAGGGTAGGAAGACTAATTGTGGCCTTGTGTTCAACAATAATCTATATTAACTGATGAATTTTCTGTACATGACTTTGTTTCAGTTAAGGAAACGATCTTCAAGATGGTACGTGAATATTTACTTTTATTTCAAACAATCAATTCTTCTTTTTTCTTTGATCTCATTCAATCGATGAAATTCTATTCATACTTCTAATCATTTACACAATGATGGTCCGAAATAGGCAGCATTGTTGGAGGCAGGTATATTGTAATTTTCAGGTTTGCTTAGGAAAAATAGAAAATTCTCAGGATGGATGATGAACATGCTAAACTCTTCTGGTCGAGCTACTACTGCATATAACTCAGAAATATAATCTTTGTACATTGTCTTTTTTTAGATATGGTTAAACAGACTAACGTCGGTCCTGATTATTGGTGAACAAGAACGTTTAACGTGTGCACTTGTACTTAATACATTTACCAGTCACATATATACGCTCGTTCCTCGTACAACACTTTCGTTATGATTGTGGTCTGTTGATGGCCGAACATTATTTGATTATGCTATTCAAAGGTAAATACGATTAGGCATACAAGAAATTATTTTCTTAGAGACATCAAATTCATATGATAGTCATTCGTATATAATCAATAGTCAATGGCCACAAACATATTCTACATTAATTAAATTAATTCTTTGTAAAGAAGCACTTTCATTTTGCTATTGTTTAAGAGATCTTAAAAAAGGAATATAATAAATAATATTTTTTCATTATTATATGACAATCGTATATTATCAACAAATGAAATATTAAATCATTTATTTAATATTCATAGAGACTATGGAAAAAGATGAAAATAGTATAATGACATCTGTTTATCGTCAATTAGATTCAAATCCGTTGGAACATCCATCATATATAGATGATTAACATTTTTATATTACAATTGATGCTTGACTCATCGTTTATATAATTATTCAAAAGGGGTGTGGGTGTGTGATTCAAGACAAGAACAATACCGACCCCACACCCACACCCTTTTATATGCAACTTACACAATATCGGTAGCCGTCAGTCAAAAACTCGGATTTTTGGCGAAACTCATACTTTTCCTTGCGGTGATATCCTTCAAAACTATCACGATTTGATAGAAAAGCGAAATCTACATCCATTACAACCTATTAGAGAGCCATCACAAGTGTAGCGATGAATGTCAGAAAGGATTACCGCTTCATTGTGTTTTACCTACAGACTATATCAATTCTTACTGACTACATCTTGATAAGAATGTAAATTAAAAAGCACAAATATAAAATATGTATTCTTGTTATTGGAAAAACGAAAAATTAAATAAAATTGTAAAAAAAACGAATATTTTTACTGTGTTTATCTCTGTTTTGTTCTGAATATTAAATACTAATACATTACTTCATTCATCTTCTATACCTAATCTCAATGTTATGCGAAAATAAAAAATAAAGTTTATTGATTGTGCCTTTCTGTTCACTACAATATGATTCATGACAATTATAAAGCATACTTGATATAATTTCTCTTAGAGTTATTGATTTTGTTATTTGTCTTTTTCATTCGTATTTTACAATTTCATTACCAACTGTCGATAAGATGAAAACTGCGAAAGATGGCAAAAATATTCGATCTAATCATTGGTGCTGTTGAAACCCGTTTTCATTGTCTTGTCGCATTAATTATATAGGAATATGAAGCTTTCTAACCATGTTTCAATCAAAAATCGCACGCCTCTCTGATCTTTAGATCATTTCAACACAAAATAGTAATTCGAGTAGTGGGTCAAGAAAGTTAAAAAAATCACGAATGATTACAATACACAGTGCTTCAAATCGTAAAAATATCTGTTTGAAATACAGAAATAAATAAGACAGGTGGTTTCTCTGACATTCGATTATCCTTGAGAGGCGACTATTGACTACTAGAGACTATGAACGCAAGTTACACCTTAGAGAGTTAACGAGTTGTTAGTGAATTTTCTTGAGCGAAATTTGAAACTAAAATGTTGTTGAAAAATTGAAGAGTTCGTCACGAACAATTCGATATCTCGACCAAATTACAACTTGAACCTATAACTTCTTAGGACTTTCTTTGTCTAATAGTCAGTGGAGCTTGGAGCGGGGAGATCAGAGAGGTAACAAGACACTTACAATTTTGAGAAATTTCCATTTTTCCTCAGTAAAGTTTCAGTACTTTATTCATTTTTTCTGCATACATCTAACTGATGGACAAAGAAGTAGGATCAACAGATTTTCTAATACATGAAAGGTTCTTTTGTCAATAGAATTTTTAAAATAACTCCAAGCTATAAGTAGATTAATATGTTTATCTTCTTTGTAACTAGATCTTGGACGCCGACTCTCTACTAATGAACTAAAGTTTGGAAAAAACAAATCTTGTTTAATCGGTGACATCGCATAAAACAAAAGAAAGAAAAATGCTAAATGATTTTCGTATTGTTAAATTTTGATAGGTCAATATTTATCGATATGTTAGAACGAAATAATGATTTTAATGAAGATCTAATTGATAAGTTTCTTTTGATGAACACAGCTGTACATGAAAGGTCATATGGATTAATATTTCATCAAGAAGATTCAAAACGACATGTTTGGCAAATGATTGAAACTGTTAATGAAGAAGAATTAAATGAAAATATAAATTATGACATTATTCCTGAAGAACGACCACTTGTGTCACTTGTAAATTTTGAAAATACCAACTATCTCAGAAATAACCCACCAAAAGAAAAACAAAGAATATCTCCATTGTATTTGGACGAAATGAACTAATTTTGTTCCTACGAGCCATTGCACGATAGCCACGACCAAACGTGCTCAATTAATCTTACAGATTTCAATGAAATTTTGCCTATATGTAGACCCAAGCGAGATATGAAAAAGCCTAAAATTGCCGCCTCTGAAACTGTTCCCTTCCTAAGATATTGAAATCACAATAGAGGCAATCTCAGCTAAAAAATGACGATAACCAATGCAGTACCCACTCAGTGTATACTTCACCATTTTTCAACCATGATGTTTTTTGGCATGAAACTTTGAGAATATATACTACCCTTAGTATCCTACAGATTGACCAATCGAAACCATTTTCCCACTCGTTAGATGGTATAGAGGTATTTCATAGGTTCTAGATATATGCTCTACATTGTGATCAGGATTTCTATCGCTTTTGAGCGAATTATGAGCTGCCGCTGTGGAACTAAGTACTACTGCCCTCGAGCTATTAGCAACAATTTTCAAAACCTTGGCGTTTTGATTTTGACCCGAACAAAAACCTTTTCTGGTGTAAATATGAGCTGATTTGAGTAAAAAATGGGATCCATTTCAAGACAAGCTGCCTAGTCGTGATCATCATGTTCTCCTCAAATTAAGATATTCTTGTAGAGAGCAAAGCTTTATGAATTTTTGACGCAAGCCGTTTGATGTACTTATCATAAAAAAATCAGTTCAAACGAGTGTACTACTGATGGGTTAATGAGTACTACCGAATGCACGACAAACTGGTCATTTAGCTGTGTTCTGTGCATATATATATCTCATGAATGGATTACATTGGAGAGCTGAAATTTTGTTTATAGAGAGATCTCATTGAGCGCTTACTCTGATAAAAAATCCAGCTCTTTAGATAGTTCCTATAACTGAGGAGATCTTCCACAAAATCATGATTTTGTCAAAAATCACGACTTTGGAAGGTTTCGCTCTCCCAAGAAATGGAATTCATAGAAGTCGGACTCGTGTGGTTTCAAAAGTTCACATTGAATGCTACAAAATTATGCAAGAATTAGTTTGGGTTTTTGTAGAATGGTCTGCGAAGGCTTATTGAAATGTACCTAAAAAATTACCCTTTTCCATAGAAAATATCCTCGAAGTTGTTCAGAAATTAATAGAAAAGTTTCATCATGTCAAATAAATTTTATTCAGTAAAAATCAGCATGTAACTCTCTATTGGCTTCCATAAAAAACCTTTGTACATAAGAAAAAAAAATTTTTTTAATCCCTGTACCCCTTCAGGGCTTTTGGTAAGAAGGCTTTTTCGAAATCCCCGTACCCCCCCCCCCCCTACGGGTATTTTTGNTCGATTAAAATCTAAGAAAATTGATTAAAGATTTTACCATTTACTCTGAAGAAAAATCGATTAAAATGATATTTTTTTGCACAATGTTCAGTCGATTATAATAAAAAACACTAGATAATCCATGAAAATTAGGGTTTTTTGGATTATTTTTTATTATAATCTATTCCTAATCGATTAATAATTGATTGAAGATGTATGATTTCAATTGATTTAAATCTGATTATTCGCCTAATCTTTTTGTACATAGGGTACGTTTTTAAACGTTGCATAAAACTGATTACATTTCTTTTCACATAAATATTGGAGAGAAATTAAGAGAAAAAATTGGGATGAAATGATATTGTACCAATATACCGTGCATAATAATTGTTTGGTGGTCAATTAAATGTGCAAAATTGACAGATAATTTTATTGTTTAGTCTATGGTTTCTCATTTGGAAAATTTTAGCTTAACTAAATGTACTTATTAGCTTTAGAATTAATGTATTCTCTCTTCTTTTTCTAACTTGTAACTTTATCACCATCTGTGAAGAACAAAAACAAAATATAAGCGAAGCTTACAGGCACGACAAAAACAAATGAGAATAAAGGCGTCATAAATGTATCATCAAAGCATGACTTTTTCTTCGATAAAATCTATTATTTCTTACATACTTGCTTCTCTTGTCACACTCTATTCAAACAAGAGTGTATACGGACGTAGAGTATAGCTATTTGATTGCAGCATGATAATAAATATTATTCATATAAATAATATGGAGAGTGTCCTTTTTATGACGCTATTGCCGTCATTAATAACATATAAAATGTATAAATTGTATATTAATAAAAAGAATATGAAGAAAAGGATGACTAATGCTTGAAAATTTGTATTAAAGAAAAGGCTTGTTTTTTTTAATTTTTATTTGTAATAAGCAAGATCTTTCTTTTTTCATAAGAGAAACATAATAAAACTTACCTCTTTGTTGAATTTCTATCTCCTAAAATGATATGAATTAAAAATCTAGATGTACATTATTTGATCTGATATAAAAAAAGAAAACCATGCTACATTGACGAAATAGAGGATCGGCAGGAGAGAAATCTGCAATCTACCAGAGCCACATAATTAAAAAGAGAATAGAAAAAAATGATTTGTTGTCTTTAATATTTGGTTATTCAAATGCCATATAGTATCCTCGCAATTCATTTCGGCTTGATTTCATTTCATCAATCAAAATGGTAGAAATACATGGAAGTATATATTTTGCGTATACTTTATCGAATTTTGATGTCTGTCCTGAACGAACACTATTTACAAATTGTAACGATTGAGTATATAATGATTTCTACAATAATAGACTTAAATCTTTATTTTTCAATGATTCATCGCTGAACCAAAATGTTTGAAATCTCAATTTTATTACGAGAAGACTTAAAGAAGTGCTATTTTGGGAACTTTGATTTAGTGTCTTAGAATCGTACTATAAATTCTGAACGGAAGAATCTAGCAATATTGACGTTGCTTAGATCGAGAGTACTTGACTTTTGCTTTCAATTAAAAATGATTAAAACAAAAGTGAAAAAAAGAAGAAAGTTTTGTAGAAAATGGATAAAAACTTATCTTATAGGTCAGCTTCGGATTCATCAAAATTAATATAGTTTTATAGACCAACAACTTCATTTTATGCCAGTGGAAACTGCAACCCTCTATCTTTTTTCTATCAAAAGTGATTTAAACAACTCAAAGATCTCTTTTATTCCCTAACGAATAGGTACAAATAAAGTGTAAAAAGACATTTTGTTTTCGATTTCCATTAGAAGCGCTGTATCAGATGAATTTTTCAATAAGATTAATAAAAAAATTACAATAATATTCTGTCGTCATCATTATACAAACTATTAAATTATGTGTTCATTTATATTATAGCAATCACTTTCAAAATCTTGTATTTTGTGGAACTCGTATTCTGTTTGTCAACGCAAAAAGTAGTGAGTATAACTTTTAAATCGAGGTTTTGGGGGTCTCCATCCCTTCATAGGAAAGATAGTCAAATCAGACGCTAATGAGTNGTAATTCAGATCAGCTCGCCATGACCTTCACCATTTTCGCTGATACTTTTTTCTAATACATTCTTTTTCGAAGATTCTTTCGTCAATAGATAGAGGACACTTGGTTCTACTTATGGTCCAAAATTCAAACCTCTATTGCATAAAGTGAATGAGAACGAAAAAAAATAAAATGAAATTTTTTATTTTTGATCCGAATTACCCCGAACGACTCTATATGATCGTAAAAGTCGATGTTAATAAAAACAACATTTCTATTGTTTAGTTCAGATATACAGCTTAGCTCTTTGATTCAATTAAAACATTCAATTCTTGTGTGGGTAGGAGTGTAGGTGTTTGTTCTATTCCTAGACGGACTCTAAAGCACATCCACACTCTTCACGATCTTAATTTTATCTTCAAACGTTTTCCATTAATAAGATTGAAACATTTTTATTCTGAATGTTAGAACTATTTATTTATGCATATATCGTAGTTTGAGACTGATTTTGCCACTATACTAAGAACAGGATCGATATTAGATTTTCTTATATTCATTGCCTTCTCAGAGATAAAACTACATTAATATCAATCTGAATTAAGCAGATAGAAGCGGAATACTGGTTTTATTTATGATAAAATCTACAGCAAAACTGCTTAAGATGATCGCATGAACTCCATTATTTTGTTGCGCGTACTTGCTACAATCGAATTTCACTTGGCTTTTGTCAGACAAAATCCATGAACTTTAGTTATAAAAATCATAGCAAAAGCGAATGAAACGGTCGATTCTAATTGAAAGACATTAGTCTAAGAATTTTCGAATATTTGTATACAAGAATGATGCTTTGCAGCTTGTACAATAGTTTCTTTGTTCGACTGACATTGTTTTGTTCCTCTTTTGATCATTAGCAACATTTTTTTTATTAAGACACCTTCTAGTTAACATGAGAAGATAAAAAAAATGAAATTCCGGAGAGATTTAACCTCATGAATGATCGTCGATTGAAGCAAATCGAGACAATTTTTCAATACAACAGTTCTAAATAAGAAACGATTCATTTGAAAGTTTATGATATTTAATATCATTTTTTTTTCTCATAATAGTTTTCGATATGAACACTCTATGTCGAAGTTTTATGATTTGTATTTCGTTTCTTCTTGTATAGCTCAAAAACGAGCAACATGTCAAACGTTTATTCACGTTTTTGAACAAATTCTTTTTTCGAATCTACAAGATATCAAATCAACGCAAATGAATCTGATTTCACTTGAATTTATTCATTTTATTGGAAATTTCACATTATTTGTAGAAATTGTAATTTCCTGAACCATATGACAAAGAAAAATGAAATTCATCTATTCTCAACTTCACCTGAAATTATTCACATCCCAAACAATCATTATTTCGGCTCTTCTCTTACACTAAATAAGAGCAGATATTACAAAAAAAAGCTTATTAGTGCAGTCCCTTTGGTGCTAAAATGTGGAACTCAAATATGCTCACTAGTCTCATTACACTAATACAAATTACGTAAAGTGAAAAATCTTTCGTAGACTGTAGTTGTTTTACAGGATAATCGATCAACAGAGTAAGTATCTCTCTAATTTTTGCATTTTGAATAGAATTTTTTTATTTTTTCTCTACAGGCGCCCTTTTTTGTTTGCATTGTGGGGTGTAGCTGTAGATAGGGTTGAGTGTGGGTATTGCTATGTACCTATACTTCATTCGTACCGAAAGCCATAACACAGTTACACCCAAATCCAGACTCATGTCCGCCCACCCCACACCCTCGAAATATTAATCATTGACTAAAGACTTGTACAGACAGATAATTTGGGATGATTCCACTATTTGCAAGACATGGGTTTAATTTTGTACCAAGAGAAATATTTATGCAAACTTTTATCAGTTCGAATCATTTTTTTACTTAGATTTATAAATGTACAAAAAGAAATTTACAAATTTGTTAGCATAAAAAGTTCGTGCTAAATTGAATTCCAGTTGATTACGACATTGATCTTTCTCTAGGTCTATTTCCAAATAAGAACAATGAGTGCAATAGCGAGTGCAATAGAAATAACAATATGCAATAGAAACAAAATTAATATTCTATTATTCCCAGGTGTCAGATCAGTTTGATCACTCTTTCTAGTATTGACACTCGAATTTGTTGTATACTCAGTTAGTTCAGTATCATTTCTCTTATTCATTGCCTTCAAGGATAATTTTCGAAGAAATTGAATAATTTCCAAAATAATAACAATAAAAACCACCCAACCGGACCAAAGTGAAAGAATAACGATCATACCAGTTCGATTCTCATTGAAAATTGTAACCATAATAAAGATAGTTGGTATCGAAAGAAAAAAAGCCAATAATCCAGTCATTCGATGAAGCCAATTGTAAATATAACGAAATGAACTTTCTGGATGACAACGAAATAGTGCCATCCATGATTGTAAAAGTGCACAGCAAACAATTATGCCGCCAAGAACGGAATGAACAAATGTAAGACCTTCATCAGATGTTATCCATGTGCCTTGTGTTTCAGCCAAAATGAGCAGAAAGCCGAGCAGAGTTGCTACCGTAGTTAAACAAGCAATCAAACGATGAATTTGAAACCAATACTTTTCATCGAATAACTTTTCCTTCGAACCAAAACGTATCGTACGACCGTATCGTGCAAATAGAATAGCAGTTGAAGCGAATACCATCCATGCAAGAACCATTACAGTGCCATGAGCACTTTGTAATGTGTTTACTTGTGCTGCAGCTTGGCTATCTCTGCGTATTCTCAGCATTATCATCTTGAATATGAATAGGATTTTCGTCGTAATTTGATATTCATTACATTCATTTGGTCGGTTGATCACTTTTATTATTTTATATTCACCTGTATCAGCTTGAATCAAAGAGTATGTGGGACAAAATTAATGTATTTTTTTTTCTTTTCTTTGCTTATCCTTTTTGTAGACAACTTAAGATGATTCATCGCATAAATCAAACATGAAAGTCATGACTTGCTCTGCAATTTTATATTATAACAAACATCGACTATATAAATAGATTATTGATCGTACGAAATTGTCTAAAAATATTCTTGCGTTATTGATTAACATGATTTCCAGGTTTACTCTTGAAAGAACTGAAATATCTTTGTGGAATGGACTGTCGCAAAAGTTTTTCGATTATATGTGGAAATGCAATAAGTCATTCGAGAACTTTTTCATCAATGTAACAGGCTGATGTTGTTACGAAAAAAAATGCCTATTACCTTTTTTGATTAATGTTTGTCTCATGTTAAACAACAATTAGGCGAGTAATCCGATTAAAATCGCTTAAAAATTGATTAAAGATTTTATCATTTACTCTGAAGAAAAATCGATCAAAATGATATTTTTTGTTGCACAATGTTTGATCGATTATAATGAAAAAAAAGGGATAATCCATGAAAATTAGGTCTTTTGGATTATTTTTTATTATAATCTATTCCTAATCGATTAATAACCAATTGAAGATGTATGATTTCAATTAATTTAAATCTGATTATTCGCCGAATTTTTTTACATAAGATACGTCTTTAAACGTTGTATAAAACTGATTACTTTTTTTTTCACATAAATATTGGAGACAAATTAAGAGAAAAAATTGGGATGAAATGATATTGTGCCTATATACCGTACATAATAATTGTTTGGTGATTAATTAAATGTGAAAAATTGACAGATAATTTAATTGTTTATTCTATGGTTTCACATTTGGAAAAATTAAACTTAACCAAATGTATTTATCAACTTTAGAATTAATGTATTCTCTCTTCTTTTTTCTAACTGGTAACTTTATCATCATATGTGAAGAACGAAAACAAAATATAAGCGAAGCTTACAGACATGACAAAAAACAAATAAGAATAAAGGCGTCAATTAATGCATCATCAAAGCATGACTTTTTCTTCGATAAAATCTATTATTTCTGACATATTTGCTTCTCTTGCCACACCCTATTCAAACAAGAGTGTATATGGACGTAGAGTATAGCTATTTGATTGCAGCACGATAATAAATTTTATTCATATATATAATATTGAAAGTGTCATTGGTATGACGCTATTTACGTCATTAATAACATGCAAAATGTATAAATTGTATACTAATAAAAGAATGTGAAGAAAATGATGACTAATACTTGAAAATTTGTATTAAAGAAAAGGTTTTTTTTTTAATTTTTATTTGTAATAAGCAAGATCGTTTTTTTTTCATAGAAGAAACATAATAAAACTTATCTCTTTGTTGAATTTCTGTCTTCTAAAATGATATGAATTAAAACAACATCAATCGTGTTACAATTTGCTGAGTGGAGAGAAAACTATTTATTGTGACTCATCTAGTTGTACATTATTTGATCTGATACAGAAAAAAAGAAAGCCATTCTGCACTGACGAAATTGAGTATTGGCAGGAGAGAAATCTGCAATCTACCACAGTCACATAATTAAAAAGAGAATAGCAAAAATGAATCGTTGTCTTTAATATTTGGTTATTCAAATACCATATAGTATTTTACAATTCATTTCGACTTGATTTCATTTCACCAATCAAAGTAGTAGAAATCCATGGAACTATATATTTTGTTTATGCTTCATCGAATTCTGATGTCTGTCATGAACGGGTGCTATTAACAAATTGTAACGATTGAGTATATAAGGACTTTTATAATAATAGACTTAAATCTGTATTTTCCGATGATTCAATGCTAGATCAAAATGTTTGATATCTCAATTTTGTTTCGACAAGAATTAAAGAAGCACTATTTGGAGAATTTTGATTTAGTGTCTTAGGATCGCACTATAAATTTTGAACGGAAGAATCTAGCAATATTGACGTTGCTTAGATTGAGAGTAGTTGACTTTTGCTTTCAATTAAAAATGATTAAAACAAAAATGAAAAAAAAAAAAGAAAATTTTTTAGAAAATCATTGTCAAGATCTCTGATAAAAACTTATCTTATAGGTCAACTTCTGATTCATCAAAATTATTATTGTTTTGCAGGCCAACGACTTCACTTTATGTTAGTGGAAACTGCAGTCCTCTATCTTTTTCCTATCAAAAGTGATTTAAACAGCTGAAAGATGTCTTTTATTCCCTAACGAATAGGTTCAAATAAAGTGTAAAAAGACATTGTGTTTTCGATTTCCGTTAGAAGCGCTATTTCAGATGAATTGGGTGTGGGTGTGGGTGTAAGTCTTCAGTTCGACCACATCGAGATCAATACCCACACTCACCCACACCCACACCGACCACACCCACACCCAAACATAGTTTGCGTAATTGATAATATACATTCTAAGAGACATGAGGAAAATACTTTTGTAAAAAAAAAGTAATTTTTTCTGAAAACATCTCAGACTAATGGGAGTTTTAATCTAATCAAAATATTTTTGATTTCAAATCATTTCGAAATTTGACATGTTCTTCTGCTCATTTTTAGTTTGTATGTTAGTCTTAAATAGAGCAATCAATATAAGACTACGAAATCGTTTTTAGTAAACATTTCTTGAATAACCATAGATTTTCTCTCTTCATCATATCATTGAATTTTTTTAAAATTAGCTATCCAACAAGGAAACAATTTAATATTATTAGTACTGCTATTGTGAAATATTTAAAATTATCTTCAACAAGCGAAAATATTGTAAGTTCACTTAGCAGTTATGGTTGCTATTATTTTTCTTTGACATAGGCCATATGGAAAGATGCTTTACAAACAAAATTGAAGTGTAAACGTTGTGAATGTGCAAGTAATATTGTTGTTCAAGAATATCGGATGAAATATTCATGATCAGGTTCTGGACGTCCAGTTAAACGAAAGATTGGTGAAACAGCAGAACGTGATCGATATAAACAAGTAAAATAGAACTGAATATTCTTTGTTACTTCATTTTTTCCTAGATGATAATAATACCGTACAATGAGGAAACATCAAATGATATTCAATCAAAAGCAAAAAAACTGCGAGATCCATCTTAAATTTGATATTAATAGTCAATTACATTTATGGAAAGATACATTTTACTTTCGTCGACAATCTATACGAGATCGATCAACAACAGATATTCTTCACGATTTTCCTGGTTATGATAATTCTTCATATGTTATTTCTTTGCTCTGAATAAATTTATTCTTGTAATAGGTCTTCGAGGAGATAAAAATGCTGGTGAAAATTGATTTGAGTGCTGAAGTACGACGAAAAATTCCTATTTTACTAGAAAAAATGCTCGATACTTCAATATTGATTACAGATGGATAAGAAAATAAATCTATGTACATTAATGAATTACATATGATTTTAGATTCACCTCCTATTCGATTAATCAAAGTTTTATGTCGACAATTTGATGAAATTATTCAACATACATTTTGTGATAAGGTAATGTTTCTTTTTCTAGAATATCTTGAGGGGTGCGTTTCGTCTTTTATGTTAAAGATTGTAATAAAAAAGACCTAAGATTAGTTTGAGTCGATAAAAATCAATCAATAAATGAATAACTCATTTGAGAAGAAGTGTCCAAAAAGAATTTCAACTTACGATAATTCTGACAGATATTCATTTCACCTGATCTTACAGTCTTCATAATTCATTTATCTTTTATTCAACATATAGTTCTTACTCATTCACATTACTCATATTAAAAGTTTCTATCTGAAAAATTTAATTATCATTGTAAAATCGGTACATTGCTACTTTACAATATTGCGCAGCTTAGAAACATATATTTATAAGGAAATGACATGTCGTAGATTATATTTAGCGTTTGTTTCATTCCGAAAATTCTAAGAACGTAAATTTTTTTAGGAACCATCTACACCATATCCAACGTTAGTTTGTATCGAGGACCGCATTCATGTGTATGTCGACTTTAATCCAGTTATTTCAACGACGTCACCTGATGATGCTTTAGCACTTCTTGTCGCAATGTACACAATTTTCGAATTATCATTTGATAAGAAAAGTCGAACAATTCGATTTCTTTATTCAGTATTGCATGGTGACACACAATTTTTATCTAATTTCATTCGTATCTTAATTAAAGAAAAGAATATTGATATTCATCGTAAACAATGTCAAATATTATCGACTTCTTCCAATGCTGTATCTAATAGTTCAACAACACTTATCGTCGAATCTCAAGCTCAATCTCAAATTGAAATAAATCCATTAGGTAATTTTGCAGTCGAATATGATCCTTCTATCGTCAATCGATCAATAGAACCAAAACCTTTAAATAATAATTTGAATTCAAATTCTGAGAATTCTATTGATATAAATGAGTGAGTTGTATCTTCACAATCTGTCAACTTCTCAAATTTTACTTTTTTTTCATATAGATGCAACAATAACATCGAAAACACATCGTCGTCCAATTTCAATCCACAACAACAAACACAACGAAAACAAAATTCAAATCTGGACGACCAGAATCAAACATTTACAAATCATGCTTCACAAAAAAATCATCAACTTTCAACCCCAGATGATCTTCCACTCAGCAATATTACCAATTCAACTTCTACGTCCCGACGCATCAAACGGAAACGATGATCTTCATTTAAATGTTATCCATGGTCAATATTAAACATTCATACAACTTTTCTTATTTATTCACTTTCTCGAAAGAGTTTGTTTCCAAATGTGTTCCATCTCTTTCACATTTTTTTCTCTATTTCCGTTATAAACATTTAATTTGATATAAAATACACCCAGATACACAGAGATCAAGCTCAATTGAACATGATATCATTTTTATGCATTAAATTCGAAACACAAAGTAGCGATTATCTAGGTCAAATGATAAGATATCAACAAATATTTGTATATCTCTCGTCTCTTGTTCTTCTTTCTTACTTTCATTATTTATCCAATTGTATCGACATTATCTGTTGAATAATATAGTAAGCAAGGTATTTCTTGCACGCTTTTATTCTTCCCTAACTCATGCAATCTAATCGATATCAACTACCCAAGCAGACAAGAATTTGGAAAAACGCGTTTAAACCCTACAATCGGGAACCGCGATTGTGATCCACTCACGCTCAAAAAAATAACGCCGTTTTTTTGCGTGTTTCGCGTTTTTTTGCGCTTAATTTTCACTTTTTGGCCGTGAAAACCCCACTTTTTGAGCGCTAAAATGCTTGATTTTTAAGTTCCAGAAAACTTCAGAAGTAAAAGCATGTTTTAACGCTCAAAAAGTGGGGTTTTCGCCATTTTCACGGCCAAAAAGTGAAAATTAAGCGCAAAAAAACGCGAAACACGCAAAAAACGGCGTTATTTTTTTGAGCGTGAGTGGATCACAATCGATGTTCCCGATTGTAGGGTTTAAACATGTTTTTCCAAATTCTTGTCTGCTCGGGTATTCAACAATGTCGTGTGCGATAGATTTCGCTTCGTCTGTCTACAATTGAACGCTTCTCCAATTTCAATAACATCAAGCAATTAACAAAAACATTACTAAAATATTACTTTTTCAAATTTCTCTTTTTCTCATTTCTTTTTTTGGAATTAGTTATTCTACTCAAGTAACATCATCAATTCAATTGCAACAGACCACGATTTATTTCATTCCACGTTATGTTATTTTGGCCTTTAATATTTAATTGGAATAAAATCAATCTTCGAGTAATATGGTGAACAGTATATTACTCTTCAGATTTGTCCTCTTTTCATTAGTCTTTTTGGAATTAGCTATTCAACTCAAGCAACATCATCAATTGAATCATAACGGACCACGATTTATTTTATTTGAAGTTATTCTATTTTTGAATGATGTATTTTAGCCAAATCAATCTTTGAGTCATGTGGTGAGTAATATGTTCGTTTCCAAATTTTTGTTTTTTTCATTGCTTTTTTTGAAACTAGTTATTCTACTCATACAACATCATCAATTCAATTATAAGAGATAATGATTTATTTGATTTCTGGTTATACAATTTTAGCATTATATATTGAATTTGAACGGAATCAGTCTCTGAGTAAGATGGTGTGTGATAGATTGCTTTTCAAACTTTTCTTTTTTTATTTCTCTTTTTTGGAATTGATTATTCTACTCAAGCAACATGATCAGTTTAGTTACAAGAGACCACGATTTATTTCGGTTCAGGTTATTTTATTTTGCCATTATGTATTGAATTTGAACAGAATCGACCTTAGAGTAATATGGTGAGTGGTGTGTTTGTTTTAGTCTGGTTTTATTTTTTCAGTTATTTGACTTCATCGATATGTACTATTAAGGAGGTGCGAGCTAGTGATTTGTTTTGGAGTGTTTTATGATTCTATGAGTTATCCAATTCTATCAACATCGTTTGTTCCATTTACGCAGTGAACGATATATGTTTTCTCGTTTGTTGAGTTCAAGATATTATTCGAGTTCATGTCCACGATTCTTTAACAGATATACTGGATGATAGACGTGTTTTTTCTCTGGTTTTCTCTCATTGAGACATTCATTTATGCCAGTAGGAGGCATTGAGTAAATATATGGCGGAATTTTTGTTTTCCTCTGTTTTGCAGTTTTGATGAACAATGAAGTTCATCTACACGACTGTTTGACTAACGGTGTAGACATAATTTTTCCCTGAATTTTGTTAGACCTGTTGAAGCTAAATACTCATGTCAGATGTGTACTTTTGTGGACATTATTCTATCAATGCGTGTGTTGGACATCATTAGGTGTTGTGATAGTTGTTTCGTGCCTATGGCTTTTTTCCCACACAGGTCTCACTTTTTAAAAACTTCCTAGGCTTTTAGAAAATGCATTTGATTATCTTGATACTAGTTGCTGCGTTCCGAGCGATCAGTAGTTTGAGTGTGCAATTCCTGTCTTTAATCGATTTAGATACGTTCTATTTATTCATTTGGTCGCATCAACTGCCAAGTCCTGTTCTTTGCATCTTATGATTGCACCTTCGCCGTGGTTTGAACTTTTTTTTTCGAACTTTTGCGCATTGATGAGTTATTCGTGGTATTCGTGCGATGTTTGTAGTGTGTAAGCACACTTTTCGCTCTTCTATTCCGTTCATTCTGGCAGCTGCTTTTAAAGCGTAGAACGCGGATTCATCACTGCTCTATAAAGGACTGATGTTGTTAAACCCTGTTAATTGACCTCAACCAATCCACTGGTAGCTGGTAGGATTGATAAAATATTTGAACTACCCTTGAATAAACCCTTTTGTAGTTTATATGACTGATCAACCATCTGAACTACCCTTTGATAAACCCTTTTGTAGTTGATGTGACTGATCAACCGTCTGAGGTACCCTTTGACAAACCTTTCTGCACTTGATGAAGGTAATAAACGCTTTCAATTAACTTTACCAAAGGTAATATATGGGTATTCGGATTTCAGATACCCATTTATAAACGAATATGTGTGTTCAAAATAATTGATTTTGGAATTTCATCTACCCTTAAGAAGGGTTTATCAAAATGCAACGGGTGACATACCCTTTTAGAGTTTTTCAAGCGCATAAACGCTTTGATAAACCTTTGTATAGCGGGTATTTTAAGTTGATAAATGTTTTTTTTTTTACTATTTCTATGGGTATATGCAAGGGTTTAACACATTCTGATAAACGGTAAAAAAGAGTTTGTCATACGTTGCACTCTGATAAACGTTTTAAGGGTTTATCATTTGACGCTTTTTTTTACAGTGTACACTAAGAGACACTTTACTCGGCAAGGGGTAAATAAAGAACAGCGTTCAAGAAGTGGAAAATGGGAGCTACTAATATCTAGAGAAACTATCAACTTCGCTATAATGATTATTCTTGGAAACTAGACTCGATCATTAGTTATCTCATAGTTCGCACATGCATGAAAATCAAAGTAATGCTATTCTCTGAAATAGGTTTCATACATTCACATCTAGAAATTTCTTTGTGCGAATGAGTTTATGAGGTGAAAATATGGTGACTAGGTTTTTTTATTTTATCTATCATAGAGCTGCAGGGAAGTGAGAAGTAATTCCTATTATTCAGCTCCAGGACACTCGATGTTCAGTCGAGGGTCAAGCGAATCTTGGCGACGAGCGTTACTTGTGTTATAGAAGCTTAGAATAAGTCTACTTCCTGGTAGTCCCTGATGTCCCTGACAGTCTCTGGTAGGATTTATATGTTACAAAATCTATTACGAATGTTATAGAAGCTAAGAATAAGTCTAGTTCTTGGTAGTCCCTGGTCTCTTCGTAAACATCGAAACTATAGTTTTATCTTTAATCCCTTCTGGTCTTTGAGTGACTGTTTCCATCGCTGTCAATTATCTTGTAATTGATTTCTTTTGAATTACTTTGTAATTCATATCCGTCATCCAGTGACAATCTCACTATACTATTCACGTGTAAGATTTTTCAAAAACTAGCTAGTTTCGACAGCATTGTCTAGAAACATATATAGATTGAAATCCCGTAGCCAATCTAACTGTAGTCTGTCAGCTATAGAAGAAATAATCGGAAAAAAATGATGATTTCCGTAACTTGAGTGTTTTTACGGAAAAATAGACAAGCTGAGAAAAATCTAAAACTTTTCACCCTAACGATTTGATGGCATGGACAATAACTATTTTATCACTTTATAAAGAATTTATCACAAAAACAAATGACAATTGGCACCAAATGATTGTCACTTCATCTGTAAATATTTGCAATTCAAATCAATATAATATCTATCACATTTCAATTCAGATTTAAAACGAGTATCAACAAAAGCACAGTCACGATTTACTTGCGGTGAGTTCAAATTTAGTCAATTGGGTCCTTCAATGCATATACACTAGTTAAAATGGATATATGCTCGTTTTAACACATTGATCTTATTTCGAATACGAATTCACTGACTATCAGCCTTTTTATCGGTTCGTTTTGATATCCGTGCATTGAAACAACATTAAAGTAGCTTTTGTCTGTTTGGGTAGCGTACATCTAACTGAAAATGTCAAACTGACTCCAATTCCTCAAAAAATCTCAAATTGTTGTTTAAGTCCTGAAACATAGTTTGAAAATACTGCACGGCATTCATACGATATTATAATGGATACTGAGACGTGATGTTATCATTACAAGATTAGTCATTACTTATGCAATTCAAGATACTATTCAATTGTGAAAATAGACGATTTCTATTATTGAAGATATCTACAACTCATGAAACGATGGAAGTCGCACAAAAGCGTATAATCAAACACACCTTTGAACTTTTTGAGAAGCTTCCGGTCACAATTAGGAGAAAGTCATGGGAAAAAAATGGCAAACTCTACTCCAATACATTCACAGAATACTCAAAGTGTTCTTGTACTTACTGGATCTTCATAAGATTCAGAAATTTCTAGACATCCTTTACATGTGAAACAAGCATTCAATCCTTCAGATCGAAGTAGAATTGTGGTATTTTTTGCGATCGGTTTTCTATTATAAGATTATTTTTTATTATAGAATTCAATACCGTTCTCTTCTCGGTTTGTCATGTTTGTGCCTAACTGACAGTTTCGTCAAGGAAAGTTAAAAGAAGTGACAGAAAAACAGAATTGCACTGTTAGTGTAGAAAAATATTCCT